CGACGCGGAGACTGAGGCTCCGCGGCTCCTCCTCCCTCCTGCCCGCACTGACTCAGCCGCGCCCGGCCCCGCCTGCCCGGGATTCCCCGCCCGCCGCGCTGCCCGGCACCCTGCGGGCGGGGGCCGGAGCCCTGCGGGAGCGGGAACACCCGTGGGCACAGGTGAGGGCCCGCACAGCAGCCGGGGCTGCGCTTCCCCACGCCCGGCGGGACGTGCCGCTGTGTCCTGCCCCGCTCCCTCCCCGGCCCTGTTTGCTCGGGTTCTGGAAATAGCAGGGCAGGTTTGCCCGGGCTGGGAGAGGGACCTCGTCACGCCGTGTGGGTGAGGATGCTGTTGGGTGTGCGGGTGCTGAGCGCAGCCGCCGGCTCTGTGGGAAGCGATAGGGCAGGTGTCACTTACTGGTAGCAGCGATAGGTGCGAGCGAGACGGTTGCGTTTCCCATGTGCGCGGTTTATCCCGTGTCACCCGCTGAGACACCCTGTGTGTGTGCCCTGCTGGCACAGGCACAGCGAAAGGCCAGGCGGTGCAGCCGGCTGGAGGAGTCACTGGCCCTATCTGCTTCCCACCACCTTTCTGGGCTGGAAATAAAAAGCCCGGAGCCCGGAGGGGTTGCTGGGGCTCACACAAGAGTAGCCCGGACACGGAGATCAAAGCTGAAAATAGAAGCGCAAACAAAGGCCCAGCTCTCTGCCTGTGAATGATTGACCAGGCTGTGTTTCCATGCTCTCCTTCCAACCTCAAAACTATCTAGTGGTGTTCCTCATGGATCTGTATAGACTTCGTTAGTTACTTTCCAGTGACCCAAGCAGCAGACGTACCTCAGAAGCTAACCTAGATAGCTCTGAACACAGGTGACACTTTAAAATCAGCTTCGCTTGTTGCTTTTATTGCTTGACATGCCCCTCTGCCTTCGAAGGGTGCCCATCTTTCTAGTTCAATCCAGCAGATGGTTCTCCTTGTGCCACACACTTGCAAGGGAGCTCACCCAGGGTGAGCTTGGTGGTAGGTCCCAGACGCAGCTCAACACAAACCACATGCAAAGCGTCAATGACTTCCCCCTCCTGCGCTGCAGCTGCCGCTTCAGGTTTGCATCACTCCCCCGGCACTGGCCACCAGCCCTTCAACCACAGCCTTGCTGCAGGCAAGCTACCCATGAAAAGTGCCTCTGAGCAGGCAGGAAGAAAGCGTTGAGGGTGTGAGGGCAGCAGGAGGCAGGCAGGGGAAGTCTCTGTTAGCATCAGTAACTTCCAGTCACAAGTTTTCCTCCCACACTCAGGATCTATTTCAGTATCTGCAGATGTGCCCCTGGCACTGCCTGGCTGCAAAACTACAATTGCTATGGGAAAGGAGCTTCTCCTACATCTTACCAGCTCTGTCCAATGCAGGGCAGGGATCTGGGCCATATACTCATGTCACTCCCTCTCACGCCCTGGTGGTGACTGCATCCCAACTCAATCCCTGCTACCAAGCAGCCCCTGGAGGAGGCCTTCCTCTGCTGCTGATGTGCACTTAGCTGGAGTTGGTGATCTTGCAGGTTCCCTGAGGTGAGCCTTGAACTTTCTTGAGCTGGCTAGTGCTCTCCCAGGGCTATGGTGCAGTGATCTGCTGCAGCTGAGCTGCAGAGACCAAGCACTCCCCATAAAATCAGCTATGCCATGCACGTGCCCAGGTCCAGCCACTCCTCACTCTGACCTTCCAACTACAGCCACCGATACCCAGCTCAGACACAAGCTCCTTGCCATCTCTCTTCTGGCTAGATGTGCTTCTATTAACCCTTTTGACAGTTTGACTGTCAAGTCTGAAAGATTAACTTGGCGACTCGGCCTCATTATTTGTTTACTCTCAATGTCAGAGAGCTTTTCTGCCTGGCTCATTTTGGACTTTCATTATTTTCAGAGGCTTTGAATACAGAGAGATATACATATACATGTGTCCATGCACACATATAATATACATACATAATGTATAGGCAGGTGGTGGTTAAGTGAGTAAAACAATTTAAATACAATATAAGGCCAACCCTGAACTTCAGATCGGCGTTCGAGGATTTAAAAAAAATTAAAATATTCTAATTCTGGGCTCTCTCCAGTCCCCTTTAAGATGTGTCACTTAAAATGGTTAAAATTGCAGGGAAAAAATAAAGAGAAAGGGATCTGTTCCCACTAGAGGTCAGTGTCAGCCCACGCCTCTCAAAAGCACCGTGAGCTACTCAAAATAACCTTTCTGCAAGAAACTTGTCTCCGGAAGAGTCCCCCATCATTCTGCGCTTCCAGGAGCACTGGGGCAGAGCCTGGGCATGGGAAGGACTCCCCAGCAGCCCTGTAAACCGGATACTGTTCCTGATGATGTTCTGTCTGCAGGGACAGCTCCCTGGTTTCCTAAGTGAAACCCAGGTCTCTGCACCCATCTTCTTGAACCCAAACTCTGCCCACATCAGTTGCAGCCTGGACCCGGCACCAGCATCTTCTCCACTGTTCCTCAAGTGGTTAACTGGGTGAGATAAGTGAGATGCAGCTGAGAGAGGTGAAGAAAGGGAGTTTATTACTTCTGTGTGGCTGATCTGAGAAAAAATAATGGTACTTTAATTCCCAGTTGTGGTCCTCCACCATGTTTAAGCAACATAGATTACCTAAAAATGTTAAAAGCAGTTATTGCCACAGTAATTCACACCAGGCAAAGTGACTGGTGCTGGATTCCTCCCGTGCAGACTGTCCAAAGCACGGCTTTGGTCCCACACAAGCACTGGGCAGCCCTATTGCCTGGGCATGCAGCCCTTTCCCCCCCCCAACCCCAGCAGCAAGAGTCCTGAGCCCAGCAGAAAGGTGCCAGACCCTCTTCTGAGAAAGCTCACACTGCATTTTCCGCTCCAGAGCTGTCTCTGGGCTCATCAAGCACTAACCCAGACCTCTGACCAGGACTCCAGCTCCAGCTCAGTGAGCTCAGTCCAGAAGACACGTGCACTGGGCTCTTGGCCGGGAGCAGAGGCCCCAGGAGAGAGGAAAGCCACGGGAAACACGGCAGGCTCTCTCTTCCAACTGCTGTTCCATCTATCTGACAGCACATCAGCTCTGTAGTGCACCAAAACTGGGTCACTTCACTTTCTGGCCTAACAGAGTAAAGCAGAAACATGGCTTTTAAAAGATTCAAAGCTCAGAAGCAATTCAGAGCTTCCTAACAGATCAGTGCAAAGCAGGTCCTCTTCAGGTACCCGTTTCTGGAGCCGCCAGCCCGGAAAACGCTGACTGCCCTCTTGTGGCAAGCCTGGCTGAAAGCAGAGGGTCACTTCAGACTCTCCAAGGATGCTGCTCCGGGAGGCACCTGCTTGCTTTTGCTGCAAGGGATTCTTTCCAGGCGGAGTTTTCCCCCTTGCAGCCTGTGTCGGGTGCCCCTCCTCCTCCTCCTGTGCACTCCCATAACGTTATGGGACCCATCTCGCCCACATGGTGACACAACTGACAGCAGATCAGGTTTGTCTACATGTGGTAGGTGCTGGGCAAGTTGCCCAGCTACTGCCCTCCCTGAGAAAGACACACGACTCCTGTTGCAGCCCAGAGTCCCATGGTGGACAGGTCAGTTTCTAGCTCCTTCTATGTGTGTATGATGTGGAGGAAGTCAGACAAGGGGGATTAATTAATTATTTTAATGGGGATCACACCTAATTCAATGCCTCCTCAGCCACGGTGTTCACTTCCACAAGCAGAACGTGACTGATATTAAGATGCACTAAAAATCTTTGAGCTTACAAAGCGAATGAAAAATATCCCCAGATATTTTAACAAAATTTCATTCTAGATTAGATTCTCCTTGCATAACTCCTGTCTGGTCAGTGGCTGCAGCAACAATGCTCTCTGCTTGGATCTGGGCAAATGCACAGCCGATAAGGCCTTGGTATGTATTCACTTCTGTGTGTGTGCAGCTGTGTGTGCTCAGAGCTCTCCCAAAGGAGATGGCAGATGTGGTTGTGAATGGCGACAGGATGGCAGATGGTTTTGAAGAACTGTTAATAAAAACATGCTTAAATAGATGGCGAAACTCTGCCTTAGGTGAGAAATCTCGTCACCTGGGTCTCCCTTTACAGCTAGTGGAGACTAGGCAGACTCAGTTCCAGAGAGTGGCACTGATAACCTCTGTCTGGCCACGCCGCTTTAACTAAGAGAGCTCCTCCCTCCCCACGGAATAGCTGTGGAAAGCAGTGCTCCGTCGCCAGACTATCATTTATTCATGTCTCTTTAAGCACAGTTGGTCCAACGGGGACCATCCAAGACTGAAGAAAAACCTCAGCTCACCCAACTGTCCTTCAGCTCACCTTGCCAGAGAGCGCAGGGTGCCTGCCACCAGCGCTGCATCCCGGGTTCCAACATCACCCCCTAATGGCTGTTAGAAAGGGGGATGGGTTAACTTTCATTTTTTAGTTGCTTCTGCTTGAGTTGCTTCCCGCTTCACCTCAGCCCCCCACCACAGCTCTGCAGCAGCCCACTAGCACAGTCCTTGCCTCCTAACAGTGCTCAGAGTGTCTTCACTGCTGGTCCCTAGTTAATTGCATGGTGCTGCCGGAGGTACCACTCATGCAAGCTCTGCTCTGCTCTCAGGGGAGTTAAACTTCCCAGCTGCCAGACTGAATTAAAGCTTGTGTCTCTCCACACTTGCATCAGAGTGAGGGGTTAGGAGAGAGGAGTGAGCAGCAGGGCTGGCTCAGGGCAGTGGGGAGGGGAGGGTGAGCCAAGCCTTTTGAAATATTCAGATGCTGAGCAGGAGCACAGGGCATGCTGAGGGCAGGTGCTCATCCCCTGGGATGGAGGAGCCCCGGGTGCCATGAATAAGTGATGAACAAGTCTGTGTTGCCCAGGTAACTGGTGTTCCTGGTGCGCTGAAGATGGGATCACAGCCATTCCCCAAGCTGGGATCGCAGCCATTCCCCAGGACGTTGGCCTCGCTACCAGCCCCAGCCTGTGAAATGGCCCCTAAGTAATGCAGATGGACAGAAGAACAGTTTTTCAGTGGGCTTTTAGCCCCTTCCCCAGAACAGCCTTGTCTCCCCCGCCCGCCCAGGTCTACTGGAGAGCTGTGCTTCCACAGACCAGAATGTGTCAGCTCTAACTGCTCAGCATGGGGAAGGTAAATTGCAACAAAAATATATCTTCTGCTTTTAGGGAGGTGACTCCCAGGACCGTAACTAGGGATAGGCTAAATTCTCTGAGTCACTAGTTTCCATGGCTTATTTCTTTCTGGGCTTAATGGGCCAAAAAAACCCCAACCTCAAACAGAATGCAACATTTGCCAGGGGAGGATTTGGCTTAGTTTCCAGGCACTTGGGGTGATTGCTGCTGCGCCAGAGTTTTATCAGATGAGATGTCCTGAGGAGTGTCAAACAGCATTTGAGCAGCTCTGAATCCAGCTTTCATTTCTAGGGGGGATGTGAGGGAGGACCCTGGGTATCCTGCTGAGCTGCTGCAGAGAGGAAAGTGATTTAACCTGAGCCAGAAACCTCTGTGGAGCCTCAAAAATAATGCTGCTGATGAAGAAATGGACTCTCATGGGGCTGGATGGAAAATAAGCAAATTGCACACAGGCAGCCTGTTGGAAAGGGAAGAATCACAGCAGAGGTCAAAGCGTTTCCAATGACAGCAATTCCCAACTGTGGAATACACCTGAGAACAGGAGCTACAAACCCACCTACTCCATGAGGTTTCAGACTGCGTGTTTGTGGATAGCTGGCATCTTTCCCACGGAGATGTGGACACTTGTCTAGCAATGCCGAACAGAAACCAGTTCCCCAGTCACAAACTTGTGACCCCTCCAGGTTTCCTTCCCCAGTAAAAAAGGCCACACCTGGATATCCTCCCAGCAGACATGAAGTCTGCGTGTAGCTGAGGAAAATGTAAATAATGGCACAGATTTTCTTGAGGACAATGATTGCAAAGGTAAATAGCACCCATGCAGTCAACACAGCTGACTAGCAATGGCAAAGGCACGTTCCCTCACTCACACTCTCCTTGTTGCATTAATAAGGAGTAATTTAATTGGAGCAATACATTCAGGAAGGCTCAGGCAGACAGCGTAAAATAGCCTTGAAATTTCTAAATGTAATAGGCATTAGTTTCCAAGCTCAGAAAATCCTGCATCCTGACACAAGGGGATCCTCTGCTACACATCTGCTCAAGAGAGAAAAAGCAGATCACTAGGAATCATTGATTGCTTCAAAACAAAAGACTAAGATTTGATCACACTTAATTTGCTGGACAAAATAAAGCTACATCAAGTTTTTATATATCTACACACACACACTCAATGCTGCACAAATTTTCTGCAAAATCCATTTTTGTATTTATGCTACAAATACCAGCCCAAGGAGAGGTATCTATGGTCCCTTGGTTTATAATACAGCCTCCATATTTATTTTTTTTCCCCCAGAAATTAAATGCAAATTTACTGCGTGGGTAGCAACCAAAACAATATTTAACCAGGAGCTAAAAGGCTACTTTTTGTAACTACCAGAGACAGAAGTGTGAGACTTTTTCTGTATTGACACATTATGGAAAATGAATGGAGAATACCACTAATATGACCTAGCGCTTTACATCTGCTTGGGACAGCTATGAATCTCTCTGCAGGGTGGCAGATAGAGGGTATCTGGAGAACAAAACTATTAATATCCCAGTAAGGGCACCCCTTCTACTCCAGTTGCCATGTTTTCTTAAACCTGCTGCTACAGAAATCCTGGCAGCTCTGGGCTTGTGCCTGTTTGCCTGGCTCTGCCAAGTACACATGCACACTGGTGAGCTCTCCTCGGAGACACGGGAACCCTCACGTGAGGATGGGTCTGACACCCTTGAGAGACAAAGTCTGCCCAGGCGACTGGGCAGGGGGTGCCTGAGCAGTAGGCAGCAAAATTCAGAGCAGGCTGCTCCTGCTTGCTGCTGTTCCCATGGAAACAGGGGAAAGGCAAGAGGAAATGCATCCCCAGCCTCTTCTGAACATGAGCTCCTTCAGCAGCACCCCCGACTGCCACACCTATTCCCATAGGAAGCCGTAGCCGGCGATTCCCCTCAAATGCATATCCTTGAGCAAGACCACCAGGCCTATGGATCATTCCTTTTCCATCCCAGGCAACAGAGTGGGCCAGAGCAAACTGCTTATCCTAACTCCAAGGATAGCCTTAGAGCTCAGAAAAAGTGAAGCCATTTCCAGCAAATTCTTCAGCTTATGTTTTTCCTCAGTTTGGATCTGGGGATGTACCTGCAGGGGCATCTGCTTTCCCAAGACTGTCAAGGAAGGTGGGCTCTACCTGAAATATCTGGATCTAGATGAATCTGGGCCCTTCCTGAGCTCTGTGTGGGTGTCCCCTGAGGATGCTACTGTGAGTTTAGACAGTGGGTCTGACAAGACTTTCCTGCTTGTCCCAGCAACCAAGCAGGTCAGCTCTATGGGTGAAACGTGCTGCAGTCAGCTCTGCGATTGCTAGCTGAGCATCCCTGGGCCCAGTGGAGGTCAAAGCAGAGAAGACACTGAACCAACCTAAGGTCTTCCCCTGCGTGCCAGCATTAGCGCTGATGGCCAACCCTACCCCCCAGACCAGCTGGGGCTGCCCACGGGTTAGAAAACCACAGCTGGAGCTCAAGCCAAGTGCTCCTGCTCCATTCACTGAGCTCTCCCACTTCATCCTGAGGGGAGCAAAAACCCAGGGGACCCCTCGCCTCATCGCCAGACAGCCCAGCTGGGACCAAAGCCCGCCCGGCCAGCCCGACCTCACTCGGTGCGGCTGGGAGCGGGACCCCTGCCCGGCAGCGCCCGGACGGCAGCTCCGAT